TTGGTGTGACACCTGGTTCTATTGCCAGCATCGCCATTCTGGTACATTTTAAACTCCTTGCCAAGTGTATAACTTTCTAATTGTTTTCTTCTTTTCCACAAGGTTCGTTTCATCTTCTCTCCTGATCCCGAGCTTTCCGCTGGGAAGGGAGCTGTCACTGGTATCGACTACAGCAAAGATTTCAGCTCGTACAAGATGTTTATTATTCAGAAACTCGACACCCCATACGGGAAAGCACTATTCGATCTCTACAACCAGATCATTTTCGGTTCGGCTACAGTGAATACGATCGCAAATGATCTGGGAGACGGGGACGAAAGCAGTGGCATCGAGGATGCAACCAATCAATTCGACACACTCTCCCTCGCCCCTCCTGAACTTGCTACTCATGGTAGTATCGAACAAGATGCTCTCGCCACTTCCCTTCCCGCCAGTCCTAACGTTGAACAAAGAGTCATCAGCGCTGGACCATCGCAGGAGCACAGCCGTGGCAATCGGGTGTCTGATGTCGCACAGGAACAGCTGCTTTCAACAACACATCATGCGGCTCCATCTACGTTGGTCACACCAGAAGCCAGGGTTGTAGAGAAGTCAAAGAAAGGGAAGGCAAGGGAGAAGGGACCTGTTCAGGACACAGCGGCGGAGGTTGTTGAGGCTGTACCAGGTACTCGCAAGCCTCGCAAACCACGCGCGCGCAAAACTTAGTTACCGCTGTCTGTAGTTATGGATGCCTTCAATTTCGTTTCTTCACTGTCACTATTCATCATGTACATGTAAAGGTGCGAAGCGCATCAGTGTACTTTAGGGTGCAAGTCGCTCTATTTACTGTCGAGAACCAATTGCTCCTTATGTTAACCCGATATCTAATGTAAATATATGCCCCGCTGGTAAAGCGGTAACTATCGATCACTGACCAAAGGTAAGTAAGACCATAAGCTCAAGAGTTCGAATCCTGGCTGATGCAATACCCTACATAGGATAAATAGAATAACACTACAAAGTATAATAGAATACAATATAATAGACAGAACAAGTACAATACAATACAGTAGATAGAATAGATCACTACAAAGTCGAATAGAATACTACAGTAGCGTACTACAAAGTCGAATAGAATTACGGACTACAAAATATATAGTAGACTTCAAAAAATTAGACTACAAATTTCTCATCGTTCCACAATTACAATACGGTTGTGAGCGCAGTACACATTATTGAAATTTGGTTAGGACTTGGTTGAAACGATGGTTTGAACACAGTCTCAATCAACCACTCTTCGGCTGTAACCGGTCCGAACAGCCACGGGTGATTGGATCGGTTGGAACCGGTAGTAACCAGCTGTAACCAATATTAGAAAACTCCGACATGGCCACCCTCAGATGCCAATCAGGAAATCTTGAGACTCTGAATTGACCGTAATTTATATGATTTATACAGAATTGACCGTAAATACACACAAATGA